GACCACTCATGGAGACCACTCATGCAGCTTGGCCCCAGATTGCGGTGTGTCTAGGGCATGACCCCAGTTCCCATTTTTTTTTTTTTAACTTGTCTTTATCGCTTTCCAGAAATGCACACAGGAAATCTTGAAGTCATGCAGTGCACCTTTCTAGAGCACGGGTAACTCAGTATCTTCCCCTGAAACATCACTTTTAGGCTATATTATGAGAAATTGGGGCCATTTTAAAGAAGAGGATTAAAAAAAGGTGATTTTTCTTTGCAACTCAGTTTAGGGTCAATATAAGTTAGAAAGAAAAGTGGCGAGACAGGCCTCTGAATGGCACCTTAAATTTTAATACAATATTCCAGCTTGATTTATTTTGTAAGAAAGAGGGAAAGTACTATTACCACTCTTACTCAATATAGTTCTGGAAACATTAGCCAGAGCAATTAGACAAGAGAAGGAAATAAAATAAACAAGGGTAGGAAAGGAAGAAATTAAATTATCATTATTTTCAGATAACAGTATGCTACATAAAAGACTTTGAAGACTCCCCAAAAAGACTTCTAGATTTAATAATCGATCTAGTAACATAGCTGCATACAAAGTCAATACTCACAACTAAATAGCCTTTCTGTACACAAATAACAATCTCACTGAGAGAGAAATTAAGGAAACAACACCCTTCACAATAGCAATAGCATCCAAAAACAAATGAAATACCTAGGAATCAGTCTAACAAAGGAAGTAAAAGACCTTTATATTGAAAACTACAGTACCAATGTTGTACCTGCTTCATGATTTTGCTCTATAAAACTTTGAGAGGTGGGCTCATTGGCAACATTTTGGAGCTCTCCTGTCTCTCAGGAGCTAATCCTATTGCCCATTCCCCCTTTCGTATGCCCCATTCCTTTTTTCCAATAAATTTTCCTAGTCTTAACGTCCACTTAGAATTCATTTTTTGACACAAGCTCAGTGTATTTGACATTCCCCCTATATCAGTATCCCTAAAATTCAGCCTGGGGAGCACGTGTTACTTAAAGTTTGGAAAACCTTTGGATCAGCTCATCCCTAAATGAAAGTACCTCTGCCAAGTTCTTTAAAGCACACCTGCAGCAGTCAAATTACAAGGATATACTTCTTAGGTTCATCTATCAAGAATTAAACTTGTTCATTTATTATTTATTTATTTATTTTTGTCTTTTTGAGACAAGGTCTCGCTATGCAGTTCAGTCCGGCCTTGAGCTCACTTTGTAGCCTAGGCTGGTCTTGAACTCTCAAGGATCCTCCTGCCTTAGCCTCCTGAGTGCTGGGATTACAGGCATGTGCCACCACACCCAGCAAACTTGTTCCTTTTGGGACTCTACAGAATTGAGAAGTTGAGGAGACACAGACCTATGATCAATACTCCTCTGAGCCTTAGGAGGACTTAAGAATACTTTCCAGGAAGAATAAGGAGGTTGATTCAGGATAAATTAGGTAAGTTCATTTGGCCTAAATATATTCTCTTACAGCTACACTATGTTAAAATCAAAGTCAGACTGATATTCTTAGAAATACAATTCCCAGCCTGCTAGATTTTAGATGTGCGAGTTTGTGTCCCCTGAAATCAAAGAATAAATTATAAAGGACAAAGGAGGTTAAGAGAGTAGAAAAGGTTTATTGAGGAGTAGGAATGGGGAATAAGAATAGTTCCTGAGAGACAGCAGGAGTTGCTGCGGAGGTCATCTCTCCAAGAATACTTCATAGGGTAAAGTCACAAGATGGGTATAATGTGGGTCAAGCTATAATCAACCAATCAGATTCCAAGTATAGCTGCCTAGCTAACATTTATGCAAACCTTGGTCAGCCATCTACAGTTTGTCTTGTTTTCAGTCCTAGTCTTAGTAGGTAGGAGAGGATGGCCCACTCCTAGTGAGATAATGGTCGATTTCAATGGGAAATTCCAAAAGGGTGGTACTAATTAAAGTATAATGTCAAGCTTCCATTCATCCTTTAGGGAAGTATATAAATTTGGCCATTGTGACTTTAATCTCAAATCTTGCCTTCTTCAGATGTACCTCCACGCACAGGTTTGATGTGTTCTCATTTTTTGCACTGACTGTCTTGAGAGTCCAGTCCTTTCCTGACATATTAATTTTTATCTCATTTAGCTGCCTGTAATAATGATATAGCACCTCTAAATGATATAAAGGAAATATTATAACTCCCACCCTGCTAGATGTCTGATACACTGAGTTGGTGTTTCTCAAAATTGAAAAATGAATTCTGATGTACAACAGAGGTTAAGAGTAGGAAATGTTTTTGAGGGAGAGACAACAGAGTGAGACAGGAGGGGACCCAAAAAGTGGGTTGCTTTGGACTCCCTTTTATACGGGAGGTTTTATAGTGCAAAATTATGAGGTAGGTACAAAAATCATGAGGTGGGTACAACATGGAACAAAGCTATGATCAACTAATAAGATTACAAGTATAATAATTTAGGTAATATTGATCCAATGGGGAAGCAAGTCATGCATCAAGTGTACATGGAAAGAACAAGCACTTTTTTTGAAGGGATGGTCAGAAGGGATGGTCAAAATGTCCTGGTCACCCACATGGGTGACTGATGCCTATTTAAAATATCAGTCACTATTTTTATCCCTCAGGGAGGTATGTAGGTATAGTCACTCTGTTCATTTGGGAGGCCTTCAACAAATGTACCTCCAGCCACAGTTGTAATGTGTTCTTATCTTCTTCTCTGAGTCCTTTGAGGGCCTACCCCTGTCTGACTGCCTGTAATATTTCTACCTAACTTAGCTGTCTATAATAAGATTTTTTTTTTTCCTAACCCTTATACCATTTTCCAGTGGGGGAACTAATGTTTTTCTTGACTGGGTCCAGCAGTATGCCAAAAACATTAACAAAAATACATGCTGGATTTGTGGACAATTCTTATTTCTAATGTATCTAAGTTACCATGGTGGGTATCACCTTTATAGGGAAATGACTGGATAAAACTTCAACATTTTATAGAACAGCTACAAAGTGTAACAGTTTTAAAGCTTGCACCCAGATCTAATGTCTGTCAATGGCTAATAAATGAGACCCTTCATCAAAAAGGCAATGGGAAATTTCTTTCTCTAGTCACAGTTAATATTCTTTAATGACTGGCTTTCTGGTTCCCTGAAACAACTTGGTGGGAAAAACATCCTTATTTTTCTGACTATGATACTGAGCACTGGAATTCCTGTCTGTTGCATGATTCATAGTTTTGGGCTAATGTCTCATCAGATGTCTTTGCCCTCTTTCAGACTATTGAAAGGTGATGGTTCTTCAAAAGATGAAAACCTGGGCTGGGGATTTAGCTCAGCGGCACAGCACCTGCCTGGCGTGTGCGAGGTCAGGAGTTCAATTCTCAGTACCCGGAAAAAAAAAAAAAAAAGAAAAAAAAAGAAAACCAGTATTCCTACATCTCTAAGATCAGTGAGAACCAGACTTTCAATCTCTGCTAGGCAGGATCAATGCCCCTCCTTAGCCTGATTTTTTTTGTTTTTGTTTTTTGTACCGGGAATTGAACTAAGGCTCTTGTGCTTGCCAGGCAGGCATTTATGCCGCTGAGCTATATCCCCGGCCCAGCCTGGAACCATTACTGAAGACCGACTTTCTGAAACCCCTTAAGAGTAACGGGGGTGGGGAGGGTGAGGTAGGATAGAAGAAATAAAGCTAGGTAAAAAGCAGACAAGGAAATCAAAATTTTAGCAATTGTACTTTAAAGAAAAGCCTCAGCCTCAGAACACAAGCCTAGTTTATTTACTTTTATTTTATTTTCCTTCTCCCAAAACAGCAAACCTGGGCAACTCCCTTTCAGCGCAAAGGAATCTGCACGTTTCATTTTACTTGTAAATGGTCCACTTTTACCCATGAATGGAATACTGTTTGGGGATTTCCCTAGGAGTAGACAATTATCTCACTGTGAGGGACCATCCTTTCCCACCCTCTAAGACTGAAGTCAAGACTAAGACTAAGATTATTCCACAGAGTTCCACCTCCCCAAACACATAAAAGGTCACTAGTGTGCCTCATTTGAGCACCCTCATCCCACTCGAGTGCATCCTATACTTACCTCTAATAAATTCTTCTCATCCTCTTAAAAGAAAAAGACTGCCACAGTGAAATGTCTTATGATGACAGCCGGTGCTGTTCTACAATAAGCTCACTGGGTATTTTTGGTTTTAATTTTTTTGTGGTACTGCAGGTGGAATTCAGAAAGATGGATTTTTGCTCTTTTCTCCAAGTGAACAACACAGTATAAATACCTCCATAAGGGATACCGTTCATAACATAACTTATTTGTGGCTGGGCACCGTGGCACACACCTGTAGTCCCAGTTACCCAGGAGGCTGACAGCCGACCATAGCTGAAGCCCAGGAATTGGAGATCAGGCTGTGGGTAAGTGAAAAACTTTGAACAGTGAAATCTTACTTCAGCATGAATGCAAGAAGCTAGACACATGGGGCTGGGGATTTAGCTCAGAGGCACAGCGCCTGCCTGGCAAGAGCAAGGTCGTGAGTTCGATTCCCGGTACCAGAACGCCCCCCCCCCCACGCCCCCAAAAAGCTAGACACAAATGAAAACACTCCGTCCAACATCAAGCAAAACGAATGTCGGCAGCCAGGATGTAGAGTGGGTGCCCGCAGCTGACAGTGCTGGGGAGAGGCAGAGGGAGGGAGATAGGAAAGGAACCTGAGGTGTTGGGCGCGTCCCATTTGTTGATGTGTGACGGTTTCACAGGTGCGCCCGCAGAAAAGCTAATGGAGCTGCACAGCACATTACCGCCTGGGCGTCTCACTGTCCGTGAGTGAGACTTCAGTAAGGGAGCCTGAGCACACCGCCGTGCGGCACCCACACAAAATCCCAGGAGGTTCGGCCCCAGCTGCGCCCCCCGCTTGCCCAAAGCGGAGGTCACGGCCCCAGGCGTCCGGTTTCCTTCCTCGCCGTCCAACTTCCGCGCGTCCCCGAGGGCAGGGACGGGGGCGCCCTCTCGGAAGCGCGGCCAGCGGTCCCGGCTCCGTCCCGCCAGCGGTTGGGGAGCGCCCCGCCCCGGCCCGCCCCGGCCCGCCCTCCTGATCCGGCCCAGGTCCCCGAGCGGCCGGCCGGCTGGGCAGTGATGTCGCTGGGAGCGGGGCTCGTCCGCACCACGTGCAGCACCGGCGGCGCGCCCGGACCCGGGGCCGGCGCGGGGCAGCCCTCGGAGGGGCTGCTGGACCCAGTCTACCCGCGTACCCAGGGGGCGCTTCTGAAAGTGGCGCAGATGGTGAGAGAGGGCGGGCCACGCGCCGGGGTCCGGGGAGGGAGGCGCCCCCGAGCGGGAGGCGGCGGGCGCGGCGCCGAGGCCGAGCGGCCTCCGAAGTTGAAGGCGCCGAGCCTCCCTCCGCCCCGGGGCTCGCGGCCGCACACCCCACCCGCCAGGGTTCCCCGTTTCAATTGCGCCCCTGTGCGGAGCCCAGCCGCCGCCTGATCGAAACTGTGGGCTCAAGTTTCCTTGCGCCTTCCTTTCTCTTTGGCCCGCGCCGCCTCGACACGGGTCGGGGGCGGGGAGGCTGCAAACCCGCCCTCCGGCCGGCGCCGCGGGGCCTCAGCGCGCGTCCGCCGGAGAGAGCGTCGCGGAGTCCTGCGTTCCGACCCCGGCCGCCGTGCGCGGGAGCCGCGGACCGGGGAGGCCGTCCTGGTCCGGCCCGGAGGGCAAAGATCCTTTAAGAAAGGCCTGTTCTAAGGAGCTCGAACTACTTGGGGAGCTACTCTTCTCAATGGGGGTCACCCGGACCCAGGCAGGATGAAGATGCAGGCTCTTAGTGTGACTAGCGCGACACAAGGGCCTTTGGCCAGGCCAGACGCAGTCCAGGCCTGTTCTCTTGTTCCCCAAACTTTTCTTCCTCCCAGTTTGTAGTTCTTTGAAAATGCTCTAAAACCCTTTCCCGTTGGTATGTTTTGAAACTGGGTTGGGCCGTCTGACTGTCTTCTCACTGTAGTTTGCCGCGAGAACGGTGCAGGGGGCGTGGTGGTTTGTAAAGAGATGGGAGGGGTAGTTGCGGGGGTGGGGGGTGTGGCGGTCCGAGGTCGCAGACCTGGAACGGGGACCTGCTATGGTGGGCAGCCCCAGGGCGCTGGGCGCGAGGCCGTAGCCCTTTTTGTGTCTGTAGCTTTTATTAGAGTGTGTCTTAAGGTGGCTGTGCTTCCCCTCTTGAGCCAGCCCTGAAGAGGATACTCACTTCCTTCTTCTCCGAGCAAGGGTGCCTAGATGGACTCAAAATTAGGAAGTAGAGGCGTTTTAGCAACGGACCAAACTTCCATTGCAAACCACCCTGTTGGGTTTGAAGTGGGAGGGTGTTTTGTTTGTTTTGTTGGCCAGTTGGCTAAACAAGTATTTTACAGAAGTAAAGACAAAAACTCAGCAGCACAGCGCCTGACTGGCAAGCGTGAGGTCCAAAGTTCCATTCCCCCTCAAAAGAAAGGCAAATGAACATTAAATGCCCAAGCAGGAAGGACCAGGAGAACGAGGTGGAATTAAACAAGAGGCCATGCAAACGGTACTGAGTCTCACTATTGGAGTACACTTTGCAAGGGCAGCTTCATTCCCAGGGGGTCCGGTCAGACTAGCCTGATGAAGCTGCCGGGTATCCCATAGGGAGGGTATAACTAGGCAGGTTTAAGAGGCGCTCGCAGGGAAGCAGCAGCCACATGAAGTTCAAGATAAAGTTTGTTTAAGGGAGCCCAGATACAGCTAAATGAGATGTGCACAGCTAAATAGAGCAGACAGCCTGCCTCCCCTGTCCACCCGAGTTGAGGCAGAGTGTTGGGAGTGATGTGTTTGTTTTGGGTGTGGACTGGGACCAAAAGCCTTCATCTTTCACCATGGCTTGGTGGACAAAGATATTGGGAGATGAAAAGTCCTCTTGTTGGTCTGTGATTTGCTACACAAAGGTAATGGAGATGGGAAGCTTTCCTGTTGGTTCTTGAGTTTGCGCAACAAAGGGTATGTGAACCCTCCGTCTCATGTTAAGTTCCTCAGCTAGCCTGTTGCTTGTGGCCTTTGTGCCAGGTTGCAGGTGACAGTGATGGGTCCTGTTGAACAGTTTTGTTATCTGGCTTCTTCACAGTGTCCTCTTCTTAAAATCAGGCCAGGGTTATGCCTTCCCTATGTAATGCCAGGTCGCTGCAGACTAGTTTGAGCAGACTGGGCATGGGGGGATGCTGCCCTTGCCAGGTGAGCGTGTTGTGATGTAGAGACCACTTAGGGCTGTCTGTGTGGACCTCTTGTCTAGCACCCTCTGTCTCTTTTCTTCCTAGTCTTTTTCCTCTGTGAAGGCTTAGTTTCTTTCATTTTCCTTATTAGGCCAGAGGCACAGTCCCGGTTCTTGACTTGGGTACTTTTAAAAAATAGCTATAAGCTGTCGGTAACAGCAGTAGGGCCTACCAAGGCTGATGGCGTCATCATATTCCAGAACACATTACTACAGCAGAGTTGTTACTTATTAACAGATTCAGGGAAATTAGAACCAAGTGAGATGACTTCACACCCATGAAGATGACAGTAATAAAAAAGACAGATAATTCCAAGCAGCAAGATATGGAAGGTATGAGGAAACTGTAACTCTGGGACGCTGCTGATGGAAGGGTAAATGGCACAGCGGCGTTGGGAGTGGCGGTCTGTACAGTACCACAGAAGATACCGTGCATCCTGGCAGCTATCCGCAAAAGGCTTATATTCAATTCATAGTAGCATTGTTCATAATAGCCAGAAAGTAGAAATAACACACGTTCAGCAAATGATGAGTGGATAAATGACAACTAAAAAGTGGCACATTCAATACAGTGGAACATTATATAACCAAAAAGGAGGGGAGCGAAGTATGCAACAGTATGGATGAGCCTCAAAAACATTCTGCTCCATGGAAAAAGCCAGTTACAAAAGACTATATTGCAGTATATGATTCTACTGGTATGAAATACTGGAAATAGGCAAATTTTTAGACACAGAAAATATTTTAGTGGTTGCTTAGAGCTGGGGGTGGTGGTAATGGAGAAAATGGAAAGCGACTGCCAATGGGTATGGGTGTTTTTGATAGGATGAAAATGTTCCAAATTTCACAGTAGTGATGGTTTCACCCTGTTAATATACTAAAAACCACTGAACTCTGCACTTCAAATGGCTGTATAGTAGATAATTATGTCCCAGTTAGCCATTGAAAAGAAATAGATGTAGGGGCTGGGGATTTAGCTCAGCGGCAAAAAGCGCCTGCCTGGCAAGCGCAAGGTCGTGAGTTCCATCCCGGTACCGGAGAAAAACCAAAAAAAAGAAAAAAAGAAAAAAATAGATGTAGAGAAGAGATTGAGGGGGCAGGATGCTTTGCAGTACAGCCATGGGATGTGGGGGGCATATTTCAGGAAATCTTCAGTGTCCCCACTGCACCACCACCAGGCCTCACAGCGTCTGGGCTGAAAGGCCTGGGCTCCTGGCATCACCAGGGTGCCTGAGGGGCCCCAGGGTCTGAAGAGTCCAGCTAGCCTTGCGCATAATAAGAACACCCAGGGTGTCACTTGTGGCCTCTCAGTGTCTCTCGTCCACTTGTTCATTCAGCCAGCAGTTTCGAGCACCACATTCGTCTCCGCTGCCGCGGTGACGGGTGGCTGCAGTAAAGCTCCTGCTCACAAGTCTGTGGTTCTGACGAGATGACACAAGTTCACAAAGTGGCTGACCAGGAACGTGAAAGTTCAACAAGTTGGCCATATTAGGGAGGAGGGGCAGAAGTGAATCCTGACATGATCATGAGTTTGTTGGGTAGGGAGTTCCTATTTTCACCATTGCTGCCTCTGTCTACTCAGTATGTTTAATTTGGAGATAAGTGATATGGTGGTAGGAAGAAAAGAGATGCATCAAGAAATAAGCCAGTATTGGTGCAGGTTTTTTAAAAAAATTTTTTTGCTTTTCTTTTTTGAGACAGTGTCTCGCTATGCAGTCTGTGCAGTTCAGGCTGGCCTTGATCTCACTTTGTCACCCAGGCTGGTCTTGAACTTGCAACGATCCTCCTGCCTCAGCTCCTAGGTATGTGCCACCACGCCCAGCTGGGGCAGGATTTTTGAGACAGTCTCTAGCAAGTCCAGGCTGGCCTTGAACTTGCTATGTTGCCCAGACTGGCCTCAAATTCAAGGTCCCATTTATCTTCTGCCCTTGAATGTTGGCACTCTTGGAATTCAGACTTTGACTCACATCATCTGCTCCTTGTTTCTTGGATCTTTGGGTTGGACTGTGACTTAAACTGTTGTCTCCCCTGGTTCTCAAGTGTTTAGGCTTGGACTGAAAATACATCACTGGCTGTCCTGGGACTTCTTCAGCTTGCAAACAGCAAATCGTGGGTCTTCTCTGCCTCCATGATCACTCGAGTTGTGTGGCTCTGTCATAATAAATCTCTGTCTTTTCTATATTTAATCCTATGAATTCTGTTTATCTAAATAATTTGAATATAAAAAATAATATGGCTAAAAAAAATTTTAAGGTCCACCTGCCCAGCCTCCTGAGTGCTGGAATTGCAAATGTGTCACCACCCCCTGCTCTGTTTTTCAACACAATAATTGTGCATATTTATAGGGTATAGGGTGATATTTCAATAGATTTGCACTCTATGTAATGATCAAATCAGTCATTATTAGCACATCAATCACTTCAAATATTTAGCAATTATCTTTTGCATTTATCTTTGTGGGGACAGTTCTTAATCTTCCTGCCCCAGATATTTGGAAATTGGCTTCATCATCTGCTGTGCTTTTGTGTGTGTGTGTGTGTGTGTGTGTGTGTGTGTGTGTGATGTGATATCCTGGGATTGAACCCAGGGCCTTTGCACTGGGCCAGCCCTCTTTATATATTTTTAATATTATTTATTTATCTTTTGTGTTTTTTTTTTTGGCTTTCTGAGACATGGTCTCTCTGTGCAGTTCAGGCTGGCCTTGAGCTCACTTTGTAGCCCAGGCTGGTCTTGAACTCGCAATGATCCTCCGGCCTCAGCCTCCTGGGTACTGGGATTACAGGCATGCACTACCATGCCCAGCTATTTTTTATTTTTGAATCAAGGTCACTAAATTCTATGTGAGGCATGTGGGTTACAGCTTTTAACAAGATAGACTGTTTCTGACCATATAAAAAAAACAGGCTGTGAGATATGTATAACTATAATACAGAAGGAGAATCAGAACGTAGTTCACAAGCAGCAAAGGTGGAAACCTAAATGTCTTCTAGGATGGTCATTTATTTATTTGGCA